AAATCCTAAAGTCTTGGAAATCTTCAGTAGGTAGAAGAGACCATTTCACTTAAATCCATTACTCTTCAACCTGGGTGTACATTACAATCAGCTGGTGAGTTTTTAAAACTATGAAGTTTAAAGTATACACTAGAATTTTATCAGCATTTCTGCAGGGTAGGACCTAGCCATTAACATTTTACAGAACTCTCTTGATGAACCTAAGGTACAGTAATGATTTGAGTATTCCAGTAGAAACTGTAAGAGGTAGTAAATGTATTGATTTAAAATCACTAAATTAAGAGCAATTCATGACACAATATAATGATTATACAACAATATACCAATCAGCATTACTACTGATTCTATGGTATGTCAACATGCATGCATCTATTTAGTAGTCATAGTATATGCAATCTCCCAATTTAACAATTAGTTTTTCTTTAAGATATGGACAATCTTCTGCTGGGACAGGAATATAACATGACAGCTATTACTGAAGGAAAGTGAAAATCAATACAATCATTTGGACAAGTAGTTTACCAGTAGATGACACATCAGGATTTTTATCTCATAGGATATACAAAACAACTAATTCAAAGTAACATCAACAAGTTACTTATAAAATCTAAAGCTAGCTTTGAGCCCAAGAATTAGCTCAGTGGTAGAACACTGGGCTGGGAGCTCAATACCCTGGGCCCAATTCCTAAACTGAGGGCAGAGTACAGGAATCAGAGATATGAGAGCGGATGAAACTAAATTCTGAATAGAAATCCGGGGTCAAAAAAACCCTCCTGATCTGTAATTGGGAAGTTGATTCTTAGGTATGGACACCAAAGTCATATGCAGCAGAGGAACCAAGTAGAGAAATCAGACCATTAAAACTTTAAGAAATGTGTGCATAAAAAGATGTCTTTTGAAAAAAGGAAAAAAAGACTACAAGTCAGACAAAAATATTTGTAAATACCATATTTGGCAAAGGTTTACTATCCATAAAACAAAAACAGATGCATATTCTAAAAAAATATAAAATCAGTAACAATTCCCTCATCACCACTTAGGAACAGTTACTCAATTCTTGTTATTCATTTGCATAATTTTCTTATTCAAAGAATGTATATAAGCTTGGAACAAGTAGTTCACATTTGTAATCTTAGCTTAGTCTGAGACCTGGGAGGATTGTCACAGCAAAGTTTGTGAAACTCCATGTACAATTAGCCAACAAAAATGCTGGGCTGAAGGAATATATCAGATCATAGGATTCTCTCAGAGTAAGCAAGCAGGGTAAAAGTATGAACCCCTGAGTTCAAACCCAATACTGATTAGGAAAAAAAATAGCTCTAAATTTGGTCATATAGTCAATCAGCTCTGAGATCGGCTTTTAATTCTATTTTATTTTTAATCTAATCTATTTTTAGTTTTTGGTGGGTAATTGTACAAAGAAGTTGCCATTCAACAGAATAGATAATACAGTGCCTGTTGATCAATCTCATTCCTTTTAATCTTCTCACCACCCCTCCCATCTCACCATTTGCCTCACTTTTCTTAAGTTTTAGATTATATATTGAATTTGTTTGTCATTTAACAAAGCAATATATATATATACAATGCATTTTGATCTGGGCCACCCATTCAACAGCTTCATTCCCTTTCATCTACCCCTTTCCTTATTTTTCTCATTTCTGTGCCTATACAATGCATTTTTGCCTGCATTCCATTCATTTCACCTATTCATTCTTCTATTCTCTTCTCCTTACTCCCCACTCCCCCTTTGCAAGTACCCATTTCTTAGTACTCATTTTGTTAGGGTTTGACTTAAGTTCTCTAAAGCATTATACTATTTGTGTTCTCTATAGATTCTATTTTACTTAATTTAATTCATTTATAACCTCTTGGATGCTACCCAGTGTACTTACTTGTAGATTTATAGGCACAAACTAAGTAGAAAGGCCACAGAATAGGGAAGTTACCAGCTACCCAACAGATGAGGACCTAATATCCAAAATATAAAAATTACAGCTCACAAAATTGAAACATCAAAAGATACCCTCCCAAACAAACAACAACTTAATAAATGGACTAATGGCTTAAAGTCTTCTCAGAAGAACTAAAGATGAGCAACAGACATATGGAGAAATATTCATCATCTCTGGCCATAAAGAAAATACATATCAAAACAACACTATTATTCCACCTTACCCTCATTATAATAGCTAGTATCAAGAAAACTAACAATAACAAATTCTGATGGGGAAGTCCCTGAAAGGGAACTTTATTATACTGTTTGTGGGAATTAAAATTTGTTCAATAACTCTGGAAAGCAGTGTGGAAGTTCCTCAAAAGACTAAACACAGAACTTCCAATGATCCAGCAATTCCACTTCTGGGCATCTATCCAATAGAACACGAACAAAGATACAATCAAGCCACCACCACAACCATGTTTATTGTAGCATTATTTCCCATAGTCAAGATATGGAATCAGCCCAAATGTCCCTTAATATATGAATGGATCAAAAAATGTGGTATATATACACAATAGAATTCTATTCATCCATCAGAAAGATAGGCTTTTAAAACTGAACATTATTCTGACATTGTCCCAAGTTGTTTCACAAGTCAAAACATTATTTCTTTTTACTTATGATGTATATGCTATTGAAAGGTTCTGCACAGTTTAACCAACTGCCTACAAAAGAACATTTGGGTTATGTTGCAGCTACAAAAACTAAACTGCTGTAAGTTTTGTGTTTAGGCTTCTGGGTGAAAGTAAGTTTTCATTTCTTCAAGAAAAATGTCTTGAAATGAGTTTGCCAGGTTGGATGATAGTGCATGTTTAGTTTGTAAAGAGACTACCAAGAAATCACCCAAAGTAGGCAAACCATTTCACATATTTCCAGTAGTAATGTTGAAGATTCTCTCAATGCATGCTGTAATTTAATGCTATCACTGATTCTTTACCTTTAGCCATTTTATAGGTATAAAGTTATAAATTGTTTCCAATTGATGCTGATGATACTGAAATATTTACATTCATTTGCTGTGTGAACAACCCCTTCAGTGAAATCTCCTTTTATATCTGGGACTATTTTTTTTATTGTATGATTGCTTTGTTGTTGCCTTTAAGTGTTTAAAGAGCTGTTTTCAAAAGAATATTGGTTTTGTCAAATATGTAATCAGAAATATTTTCTTTTATACTATTGTTTCTATATTCATCCTCATTGTAGGGTCTTTCACACAAAACTAAATACCTGTTTGCTTTCATGGGCTATACTTTTGGGGAACAATTTGGACTATACTTTTAGGGAACAATTTAAGAAATTTCTCCCTGGTCCCAGATCTGAACGGAATTTTTCATGTGTTTATTTCTCCCTAAAGGTGTCATATTTACAGTTTATATTTAGATGCATGGTCCATTTTGAGTTTGGATTTCTTTATGGTATAAAGCTAGAACCAAAACATTGTTTTTTTCTGTTTTATTTTTTATCATACTTTCTCTTGTTTCTTTTGCCTTTTATTTCTTTTAATTGGCATACATTAGATGTACAAGGAGGAATTCATCTCATTCATCCTCTTCTTTTGTTTCTCTCCTCCCTCTAACACAACCCTCCAAAAAAAATGTTTTACTTCCTGTCATTCCTTTTATTATGACAAGTAACACTTGTAAAAAAAAAAGGCTTTCATCATGGTATTTATACATCTTAATCAGAATAAACTTCACTATTACTTTATATTTACCTGACAATCAATGCCAATTGATCAGCAGCTTTTGGACACATTGTCAGATTGAGTTCCATATTATGTTCCATTGAGCTATTTAATTTACCATCAATCCTGTTCTGATTACTCTTCCCATATAAATCTGCCTTTAAATTCATCCTGAGCTTAAGATAATAGTCATTTCCTATTTCAATTCTTCAGGTAAAAAAATGTTACTTTTCAAACTCCTTACTACATTTTAATATTTTAACTTAAAAGCCAACTGTTTTTCTTACATAATAGAATTTCCAAATTCTACAAGTTAATATAATCCAGGGCAGAGGATGTGGATTGAGGCTATACTACAAAATGGGAAAAAGATTATATTGATCAAAATAGCTCTACTTTTGTCAGGGGAAATTAATTATTTTAAATAAAACTATAAAATACGTAGCAAAATTTTTATATTCCAAAAGGCTAAAATCATCAAGTAGCAGGTCTTTTGAACTGTGAAATTTCATGTGTTCAAATGCTTCCCAAGCATTATATGAGGCTTCCTGCCTGAAGTCCATAAATTTTTATTGTCTGTCTTAAAGCTCATAAACTTTCTTGAATGGTTTCCAATCATTTATTCTCTACAGAAACTAATCTGCAGAATTGCCTTTCTAACACTTACTTTGTTTTTGAACTGTGCAAATTATATCTTTGTACAAAATACTCAACAACTGTACATATTGTTTCAATTCTGCTCTCAAGTGGACATGCAATAATGAAACACTAATTGTAATTAGAATGTGTTAGTTGCTCAGAGTTTTTTTTTTTTTTTTTTTTTTTTTGGCTGGCCCCACTGTAGAATTTTATGACAGAAAACCTTATATTCAAATACCACCCAATAAGAATCCATGACTAAAACCAGAAACATCTTTTTGCATCATTCCCTTCCTAGATCCACACTGCAGCTCAGCACGAAGCCAGGAAGAATGTCTAATTTACATGCCCATGAACACACACACACACACACACACACACACACACAAAGTATAGCAAAGATAAGCCTGAGAATGTCACAAATTCTGATTCATCTGACACATTTACTAAAGGCATTTAAGAAATTATTCCAGTTATCCACTATCAGGTATCAAAGAATAGATATTGCTTCCAAACCTCTATGCAACCTAGCCATCAGTGTTCCTGTGCAGTGACTGGATAACACTAAAATTTCTAGGTTGGCAGATGCCTAAGATAAAATGATGAACTGTCACCTAATGTTTTTCTTGGTGATTCCACCAAGAAATAATTTCTCACAGAGGAGCATTCCTTTACCTGTTTGACATCATATGCCAGAAGGACGTACTTTAAATCTGGTGACACTGAATATCTAGATGCTTTGAAAGTTACCTAGGAAGAAAAAAAGAATGATTACTAAAAGAGACTAAATAACAGAAATCAACATGCATTTGGATATTTGAATTTATTAATATCAAATATGAAATATATTTAAGATATCTTTATATCTTCAGTTATATTTGTATATATTTATATTATATATTTAGCTTTATATTTTATATAATTATATTTAATTATATATTTCATATACCTATTAAAATTATTGCATTTATAATCACAAAACCTCTAAAATGAGCATGTCATTCTTTTTTGTTTGTTTTTTATTGTGAAAATACCATATAGAGGGGTTACAATTACATGGGCAAGATAATGAGTACATTTCTTATCAAGCATTGTTGCCTCCTCCTTTGTTTCCCCTTCCCTTCCCTTCCCATCTCCTCCTCTCACCCTCCCCCGGTCCAAAGTTGTAAAGTGTGTTTTTGGACATAATGTCTTGAACATCTCATTGTTGCAATGGGTCCACCTGTATCCCTATTTAAACAGTTTGTTTTTCCCTTCCCCTCCACAAATTATACCAACATCAAATACAGTGAAAACAGGGCTTATATCATGGGGGAGGGACATAAAAAGCAACAAAGAAATCATCTTACAAAAATATTAGAAACAATCACATGAAAGAAAAAAAATATTTGAATACTTATCTTGGGGTTCATTTCACCTAACATCAACTTATCTGACCTTTTTGCTTGTCTCAGACATATACTAGTTATTGCAAATAAGAGAAACCATGAGACCTATGTTTCTTTGGGCCTGGCTTACTTCACTTAATATAATTTTTTCCAAGTCTTTCCATTTCCTAACAAATGGGACAATGTCTTTATACTATACATTGGCATATGTACAGATGTATGTTTGATTATAAAGAAGCAGACGAATATTTGGAAGTTATTAAACAGTTCACAGGAAATGATTCAGAAGGAAAAATATCAGTATAGATTTCTATATACTCTTCCTTAAAGACTAATAATTTTATTATGAAAAAATAAAGGCATATTGAAATTCATAAGAAGCTGGAATGCTTTTATATTTTCATGTTGGATTAATCAAAAGAAAAAGATATCAACATTCTGTGTCATGATTTTCTGTGTCTGTGCTTTTATGTTTTTAAGAGTTGATTATTTATATTTAATGAGGACACATTAAAGGAAGACTCTCTTTGAAGGAAATTCCCAGAGTAAAATAGATTAAAACACAAATATATAACTGATTCTTTTGATGCGAGACAGCAACTGGACTGATTTTGGAGCCTACAATTTAACAATTGAACAGAATTGGTAACGGAAGGAATTTAATACATAATGAAAGTGAAACACATGAAGGGACAGAAATGACTTCAGAGGAAATGGAACTATTTGTCTAATTCACATTTGAAAATAAGATAAGCAAATTGGGTTGACACATCACCAAAACACTAAAAATTACAAACAAAATTAAAATGATGAGCATCTTAAGCATACTACAAAGTTTTCATAGCAAACATGTACATCTTAATTTAGGTCAATAGCCACAGGTGTTTACCAAAAAACAGAAAAGGGTAAAATCAGTTTCTGCTTTCTTTGCTTACTTCCCTCCACCCTCCTTCCCTTCATTTTCCAAACCACAATGGCTAACATAGAATCTTAAGTTATTAATATATAGAAGGTTTCAGTGTTGTTTATGGTCTTTGTCCATGTCTTTGACACACAGTGCAAAAACCTTGGATTTTCTAAGCAATAAATATATCTTCTATCTCTCAATGCAAACTTTTCAATCATACTTGAATTTATGACAATGAAAGTAAAGAGATGGGGCTAATTTAGAGCTTCAGAATTGGCTGGTTAGCAAATCAGGTCAACCATGTGAAAATAGGTTTAGAGCCTTTAATAGAACCCCAAGGTTTGAAAGGGGAGTTTTAGTTCAATCTTGTTTTTAGTGATTTAAAAATCAAGCATGTGGGCGGGGAAGGTGGCTCAGTAGTGGAGTGCTTGCCTCACATGCATGAGAACCTTGGTTTGATTCCTCATCACCACATACACAGAAGAGATATCCACTAGGAACACATCACACCTGCAATGGTCCCTCGGTGTATATTAGGTGGGCAAATTTTGTAAAGAACACATTAATAGGGGCTAGAAAGTGAATCAGTGGTAGTGTGCTTGCCTTGCATGCATGAGGCCCTGGGTTCAATTCCTCAGCACCACATAAGCCGAAAAAGCCAGAAGTGGTGCTGTGGCTCGTGGTAGAGTGCTAGCCTTGAGTGGAAGAGCTCAGGGACAGTACCCAGGCCCAGAGTTCAAGCTCCACGACCACAAAAAAACAAGCATGCCTAATATAACACATTGACATAAAAATATCAAAACAAAACATCATGTTTTGAGGATTGAGGGAGAATTCTAGGTTGGTCAATATTTCACTGTGCTAGGCAGGTGATGTTCCCTCAACTGCAAAGTCAGAGGTTCCTATCTTCACAATCCATCTAAGTATTACCCTGCCTACATCTTTATCAGTCTCAAGGCCTGTAATATGCATCCCAAGTCAAAAGTGGGGGCAGTTTTGTTGAATTGGACCCCTTAATCTGTGTAAGAATTGAAATATAGGACACTCTTTGTATTATTTAAAAAACAAAATTACAAGCTATTTTCTGTATGCTAATTGGCTTTAATTTTAATTGTGTGTCATTTAATTTCACAAACTAGAGTATGCAATCTGATAGTCTGAGCAGGGGAAATTGTATTCAAACACAGAAAAGAAGAATGAAAACTCAGCAGCTTGGCTATTTCAAAGCTACTTTGCTTATAAAGCAGATTCAGAGAAGAAACAATAGAAAACCCAGTTAATATCAGGTAACTTCATGTTAACTTTTATGCATTATGGACTAATACAGGGAGGGCATCATTATAATGGCAATTGAACTGTCTTTTTGGAAATTTTATTTAGCTCTTATTTCTCCTGATTTCATGGAAGGTCAAATAAACAAGTTAGTTTTTGATATTTTAGTACAGATTACACCATTTTATTTTTATTGTATTTGCTTGTGTGTGTGTGTGTGTGTGCATGCACATGTTCATGCTTGTACTGGGCTTGAACTTAGAATCTGGGTGCTGTCTTTTACTGATCCTTAGAGGTCAGTCTCCTGAGTAGCTAGCATTATGGGTGTGAGTAACTGATGCCCAGTCATTTTGATTTTTACTCAGATTTCAAGTTAAGGACCTGAGTACACACAACAGTTCCAAGATTATTTTTCCCCAGTCATTAGGCTTGAACTCTGAGTCTGAGCTCTTTATCTCAAGGCAGGTGTTCTACCACTTGAGCCACAGCAACACTTCTGGTTTTCTGATGGTTAATTGGAGATAAAAATCTCAAACGGACTTTCCTGACCAGGTTGGCTTTGAACTGTGATCCTCAGATCTCAGCCTCCTGGGATTATAGCCATAAGCCATTGGTACCCAGCTTCTGAAATTTTTATTTATTATTATTAAAGAATTGTTGTTGGAAAAAAAAAAAAGAATTGTTGTTGGAGTTGTTTAAGGATACAGGTGGACCTGTTGCAACAATGAGAAGGCTGGGAAGGGAGGCGAAGGGTAAACAAAAGAAGAGGCTGCAATGCTTGATAAGAAATGTACACATTGTCTTGCCCATGTAATTGTAACCCCTCTGTACAGTATGTTCACAAAATATAAAAATTAAAATTAAAAAAAAACGAATTGTTGTTGGACCAGATAGGTTGTTAATCCCTGACCAGAGATAAACAATGAGCACAGTGGATAATCAACTGGCAATGATAAGTATAATGCTTTATACAATTGGTGTAAAGACATTTTAGAAATCAATGTGATCATTGGTAATAATTACTTTCAAAGTTTTTCATTTTCATTTTTTTAAAGATCCATTTCAACCACATGTCAGTGGCTCATGCCTATAATTTTATATACTCAGGAATTTGAGATCCACAGGATTTTGGTTGGTGGCCAACCCCAGCAGAAAAGTCCATGAGAGACTCATTCTCCAAAATAATAAGAAAAATGCTGGGGTGGAAGTGTGCCTCATGTGGTAGGGTATCAGCAGACCAAGTGTGTAGAAATAAATAAATAAATAAACTCATTTCAACAATGAAAAGAACAAGAAGTTTAGTAGATGTAATGTATTCACCATGTATAATATAATCTTCAGGATGCTAAGAACTTCTTAGTTCCTAATGTTCCTTGGGGTAATCTGTGAGATAGGTACCCTCATCTCTTCTCCTCTTTGCCATTAACTTATTGTATATTGGAATTTTATAGAAATTGGTCTGTGGGGACTGAAGGTAAAATTGAAGATACAAGGTCATCTCTCCCAGCATTACAGAGGTAAATGTACTATTCCTGAAAGGTATTACTCAGGAGACAGAGGCCTATTATCAGTTTAAAAAAAAACAGTTAAGAGGACAGTGCCATCATTTCTGTCCTATGAGAGCTAGGAAAGTAGTTCATAGCTCTTAAACCTGTCTCAAGGTCAAAGAAAACCAAACATAATAAGACAGTCAAAGAAGACCACCTTTCATATGCCTCACATTATCTTATCAGCATGATTTTTTTCTTTCTTTTTTACTTTTTCTTTGTAAAAAGCTTCCCTCACTGAAGTCTGATTTATTTAAAGGGACTCTCATCTCCTTGTTCTCCTTCAACCCCATGTGATATTCTTCACACAAATTAACTTCACACTTTCACAGGTGCCTCTGTGCCTCAGGTAACAACATTTTAGTCTCTTTTACAGTTCCTACAATTATCCAGTCTGGCACTTTATTAATTATCACTATACTCCCTCCAGCTTATGGCAGCAGTACACAATCTGGGAAACTCTCCAAATATCTTTTCAGGGGCCCACGAAGCTAAACGGTCCCAGAATTTAGCGAGGGATTTGCAGGTCAGTGGTGCTGTACAGAGATTCACTGGAGATACAATGTAAGAGACACACTCTGAAAGATTCAGGAATGCTGAGTGTCTTAGGGAAATAACTCTTAGTATAAACCATTA